TGAAATTAAAGATAACCATCCTTTACCAATCACAGTTGATATTAAAGATAGCAGGGCTTTACCAATCAACGTTGAAATTAAAGATAGTGGAACTTTAGCCAATCACCTTGAAATTAAATATAGCCCTTAACCAATCAACGTTGAAATTAAAGATAGCATTTAACAAATCAACGTTGAAATTAAAGATAACCTTTAATCAATCAACGTTGAAATTAAAGATAGCATTTAACAAATCAACGTTGAAATTAAAGATAGCCTTTAACCAATCGACTTGAAATTAAAGATAGTCAACCTTTAACCAATCACAATGAAAAGTGAAGAAAATCAGCATGTAAAATTTTTTAATGATTATAAATCTACCCAGGATAACGCAATGTTTCGGTATTGTATGGGCGGGGATAATAGTTTTACTTATAAATTGCATCGACGATTAGGAAAGATTCAAAAGACAAACATTGTAAGACCAGTTGTCGGTTATCATTTCAAGAAAGTAAAAATCTGAGTTTTTTTAAAAAATCTTTTTATGCACTATAGCCTGTCGCAAGAATTGTAACAAGATCAAGACATTCGGTATATACAAGTTAAAAATGACATTACCAATTAATTATTTTTCTACCAATTAGATATGACTTTAGCAACTAAATATGACTTTACCAACTAAATATGACTTTACCAACTAAATATATCTTTATTGACAGTTGTGACTGTATCAAGACATTTGTTGTTTATAAGTTGATTGCTAATGATAACCGTTCACTGTTTGGAAAAAGAATTATTTATAATAATATTGCAACAGTTCTACTTTAGAATACTATATTTACACTGCATTTCAGGGACAAATCCATTCAGCGTTTGGAATAATTTATATAAATGTATCAATATGTACCATTTTCCTAAAGGCAGGGTTTGTGTGTATTTTTATTTCAGCAGGTGGTATTATGATTTTTATTGAACAATTTATTAAATAAAATATCAATGATTATTACGTTCTGACGATCGAGCAGATATATAGATGTTATCCTTTAGTGCTCTAAATGTTACAACACTGAAGGTGTATTACCATATCCCTTTAAGGGTGTTTTGTAACCATACAGGTCATTAGGTAATGGTAAAATGAATTGTGTGTTTGTATACGATACAGGTCATTATGTAATGATAGAATAAATTGTATGTTTGCATACGATACAGGTCAGTATGTAATGATATAATAAATTGTACGTTTGTATACGATACAGATCAATAATTAATGGTAGAATGAATTGTGTGATTGTAAACAATAGAGATCATTATGTAATGATAGAATAAATTGTATGATTGTATACGATACAGGTCATTATGTAATGGTAGAATGAATTTTGTGATTGTATACAATAGAGATCATTATGTAATGGTAGAATAAATTGTATGTTTATATAAAATACAGATCAATAATTAATGGTAGAATGAATTGCATGTGTGTATACGATACAAGTCATTATGTAATGGTAGAATAAATTGTATGGTTGCATGCGATACAGGTCATTAAGTAATGGTAGAAAATAATTGTATGCTAGTATTCGATACAGGTCATTATGTAATTGTAGAATGAATTGTATGTTTGTATACGATACAGGTCATTGTGTAATGGTAGAATACATTGTATGTTTATATACGATACAGATCAATAATTAATGGTAGAATGAATTGCATGTGTGTATACGATACAGATCGTTATGTAATGGTAGAATGAATTGTATGTTTATATACGACACAGATCAATAAGTAATGGTAGAATAAATTGTATGGTTGCATACGATACAGGTCATTAAAAAATGGTAGAAAAAAATTGTATGTTTGTATTCGATACAGGTCATTATGTAATTGTAGAATGAATTGTGTGATTGTATACGATACAGGAAATTATGTAATTGTAGAATGAATTGTATGTTTGTATACAATACAGGTCATTATGTAATGATAGAATGAATTTTGTAATTGTATACGATACAGGTCATTATGTAATGGTAGAATAAATTGTATGTTTGTAACGATACAGGTCATTATGTAATAGTAGAATAAATTGTATGTTTATATACGATACAGGTCATTAAGTAATGGTAGAAAAAAATTGTATGCTTGTTGTATTCGATACAGGTCAGTATATAATGGTAGAATGAATTGTGTGATTGTATACGATACAGGTCATTATATAATGGTAGAATGAATTGTATGTTTGTATACGATACAGGAAATTATATAATGGTAGAATGAATTGTATGTTTGTATATGACACAGATCAATAATTAATGGTAGAATGAATTGTATGTTTGTATACGTTACAGGTCATTATGTAATAGCAAAATAATGTACAAAATATTACAAATCAAGAAGTGAATGCCAGTGTTCTGAGAAATGAGTAGATGAATGTCAATTTTTCGAGAAATCAAGAGTACCTTTGGAAGTAGGGAAGTAGGCTCTCTGTAATTCATGTACGTACGGAGGTTAGTGAACGCCTATTTATTTTTTAAGACTAGTACAATAACTGGGACTTTGCCTTTAAACAATATTTTGCTGTATTGTTTTCCAACAATGGCAAAATGATACCTGTTTAGGTGAACTTTAAAACCTGTTCACTTTACGATTAGCTTTTAGTTATGTGAAAAGGGAAAATGGTCCACTGAAGATTTCAGAGCAGGAAGAAAAGATCTACACACCATTACCGTAGTCTCACAGTGGGTTACTGTAGAACGAGCCTTCATAATTCCTTCATGTTGGAATCAAAGAGCCGACCTTTGATCATCCCAGATGTAATATAGATAGATATTCCCTCTATGTGTTCATCCTTCTTCAATACATGTTCACATTCTTTTTTGCAGACCCAATAGCGTGTAGCTCTGTAGAAAAGTATGTCCTTGACCTTTAGCTTAAGATCGAAGTATGTTTTAATCGGAGCCATATAAAATTTATTTTACATCCTAACTGGATCACAGCCCAATTAAGATTAAGATATGGCTGCAGACATGTATATTATTCGACATACCAAGTTTTTATAATGAAGTCAGTAACTGATGGTGTCATTGCATTTACAACCAAAATTATTATAGAATCATGAACTCTCATATTCACATAAAAATTATAGTGCGCTGATTTTTGATAGGCCAATTTTGATATGTATGTATATCTGTAATTGCGTTTTATCAGCAAGTAATATCTACATCATTCCAACTAAATGTAGAATACTCGAAAAATGTAAAATGTAATTTGTACAAATATGTAGCCAGATAAACATTTCCAGACAAGAAACTATATAACGTGTAATGATTTTAAAATTCTCTAAAATGAATGTAAAAGCGAAGGGTAACACGTTCAATTTTGATCTCAGAGGGACAACTAAAGGATTAGATAAGTTAGGCTTATGTAACTCTCTTCATTTTTTCAATATTTTCTTACTTTATATATATATATATATATATATATATATATATATATATATATATATATATATATATATATATATATATATAGTTTTGGAAGGAAACCTCTGCATTTTCAGTGGCTGCTATTAAATAAGGTTTTATCGTGTCAGTGTCAAGACGTACACACGATTGATAGATGGTGATAGTTTGATAAATGCACAATGCTAACAGAATCTTCACGCATGCTCCAGAAGGTTCTCGTCAATTGGATGAAAAATTGATAACAAGCCAGCAGCCAATAGTATATATTACTTTTCCTGCCTTAAAATATATATTTAATAGGTGTATTTATCGGCCCATAGTAAAGACTTTTTAGAATATCATACAGAATATAATAATATTACCGGAATAATGACTGTAAAACTATATATACTGAAAACCTGAGCAAAGTGTTATTCCCACAATCTGACAAAATAATGAATTTGGCGCATGCTTGTGATTTACGTCATGCGTATGTGTCAAAATATATGAATGTGCACTATATGAAACAATCACTGCATAGTCATTCTAATAGGTTACTATGTGCCATTATCGAACTACATTTAATTTATCTGTCTTAAATATTACGTGATTTTTCTTTTCCATTGTATCTTTCTTCAATTATCTTTAAAGCAAACACTGGTAAATTCATTTTTACCCGTTATATTTGGAAGCAAACATCGTTCGTGATTTACTCTATAATTATATGGCAATAATTCAATAATGGATGGTCATGTCGGAAACGCCATAAATTCCATGTAGCAATTTGTCACGATGATACAGAATTCATAGCCCATACAAACTTGTCAAACACCTGGGTTGCGTTATTTCTCAACAACTTTTATTAGCTCTGTAAAAGAAACGCTAGGATGCGTGATGATCACTATGACTGGCATGATGCATCGTTTCCGTTTCCCTTAGATCCATTCGGTTCAACAACTTCCCTCCTGCTTTATGCTTTAAATAAATTCACTCATCAAGCAAGTGTGTTGATATGGCTCTTTAACTTATGTGTATCAATAAGAAATAACTTTCTCGGCCATGATGCAATAAATTTTACGTTTGATTTTCTTGCTTTAGGAAATTCCTCTTGTTGGTTTTCTTTTACCAGGTGATGCTTTGACAATTTGACATGATTGCTTTCCTCTTGTTGTTTTTCTTTTAACAGGTGATGCTTTGACAATTTGACATGATTGCTAAAATAGTCTATAGAACTTCAGAACTTGTTGGTGTTTGGGGTCGTTTTGTGTCATGTTTATACAAGGCATTGAATCGCTGAGAAATGGTAGGAATTTGGCATCAACCGCGCGCGCGCGCGCGTGTGTGTGTGTGTGTGATTTGGAGTTTTAACGTAGCTTTAGCAATTTTTCAGTCATATCGCTAATATGTCTGCAGTGTGACAGTTTATAGTGATGTCTAGCACTGGGGCATCGTACCGCAGACATGTAGCATGATGTCCAACCCAGTCACATTATCCTGACACAAGGCCGACCAGTCCCAACACTATCCTCTTAATGCTGGACGCCAAGCGAAGCAGCTGTTATTACCATTTTTATGCCATTGGTATGACTCGGCCGGGGATCGAATCCACGTCCGCCCGCATCCTAGGCGGAAGCTCTAATCACTAGGCCACTAGAGCGGTATTAACGGTATGGACGGAAAGTAATTATGTTATATGTTCTCTCTCAAAAAGATTATTGACACGAACCATACCGGAGGGGAGGTGGGGTGGTTATTACAGTGTTATTTGAGATCATGTTGAGCCATGCCGGAGTTTAAATGATTACTGTTGTTTTGGTACCATATTACTCTCATTTGTTAAATACACGAGCTGTTACGGCGGTGGGGGTTGATGATTACACTGTAATTAAGTTAATGGAACTTCATTTGCTAAATACGCAATCCGTGCCGTAGAGAAAATGATTACGGTAGTATTAGGTTCATGTAACTCCCATTTGCTGAATACACAAGCCGTGCCATGGGTGGGGTGGTGAATCATTACGTCAGTATTTGAGTTCATGCTGAATACACAAGCCGTGCCGTGGGTGGGGTGGTGAATCATTATGTCAGTATTTGAGTTCATGTTACCAGGAGGCAAATTATTACGATGGTGCTTATGTTCATGGAACTCTAATTTGTCGGCTATGAGGCAGAAAAAGACAATTGTACCAAGTGTATATTAATCAACCCATGAATCCAGTGTATTAGATTGTACTCCAAACTAATATCATAAATGGAGGGGAGGGTATTACTATACTAAGTCAGTATTAATGATCAGTAATTAGACTTTTCTCTGCCTATGAGTAAGCTAATATCCCACTATAATAGCCTTCTCTCTCTCTCTCTCTCTCTCTCTCTCTCTCTCTCTCTCTCTCTCTCTCTCTCTCTCTCTCTCTCTCTCTCTCTCTCTCTCTGTACGACTAGATTGAGTATAATCAATTTTGGAATTATGAATGCCCTTGAAGACCAATGAATTCCAGTTTTATTCCTTTGTCGTCCCATGTGTTTTCCATAGACTGACATCTGCTATTAAAACGTGAGTAAATATGCTTTCAAAGATGTATGTTTACTAGTATAGCGTAAATAAATCGTCTTAACCAATATAAGAATGACTTGAACCGTTACATAACGCGCTTATATCATTATAAAAACGCCACACAGACAATAAATACTAGATGTTAAGTACATTTTCGTAATGGTTAGAGAGTGCAAAATAGAAAAGTCACACGCCAGTTTCCCGCCAGATTATGTCTTATCTATTATGAAATTAGTCAGGTCAGTCAGATTTACAATGGTTTCCCCAGATTATCGCATTTTTATCAAGTAATAACAACACTTTTATGTGTAAATACTTTCATAATAAACGCTGTGGAGTTGATATTGTTACAAAATACCGTAAACATGGTCACTTACTATTCCTTGTCAGTCTGACATCTTTCTTTATGTTTATGTTTTTGCGTGTTTGCTTATTTGTTTAGATTGGTTGATGTGTAAGGGTTGGGTTTGGGTTAATAATCCTAAATGTGAAACGTTTGTACACTCTTCTGACATCAAGACAACGATTTTAAAGTTTGTACACTTTCCTGACAGAAAACGCTGTGAAAGTTTTACATTCTTCTGACAGACAACGCTTTGAAAGTTTGTACACTCTCCTGGCAGACAACGCAATGACAGTTTGTACACTCTCCTGGAAAACAACGCTGCAATACGTGAAACTACAAAAATGTAACTATCACACTGCATATTCGCAAAATAAAATATAACCAATAACATTAAATAAAAGCTTCTAACAAAATTTGCTGCGCACAATACATTTTGAGCTTCCCTTTGACAACTTCAACATATTGAAGAAATATGAGAAATCATTTCATGTGTTACACAGCTTGTCATAAGATGGCAAGGAATCAAGAGTTGCTTGCCTTTATACTATCGTAATGTCCAGTCAATGGTCTACAGAGTTGCTTGCCTTTGTGCTATGGTGCTGTCCAGTCAGTGATCTGCAGTATGTAAACAAATTAAACAAAACCTATTTGGGCGATAAAATGAAGAAAATGGAAACATTTTAACTTATGCAAACGTACCTGGACGCAAACAATATTTTCGTGTTAAAGACTTTTTGCACTTATTTTTCCTCTTTGTATGCGTGCAAAAAATGTGCATTTTTCCTGTTGCGGTTTTTAAATCCTTTCCTCAGCAATTTGAATAGAATACAAAGTGAAAACTCTAAAGACGATCACATTATTGTGAAATGCTAAATAATTTTAAATGTACTATGACAAGTCCGAAGGTATAGAATGTATCGAATAAATTCCAATAATCTCGAATTTCCCAATGTACCAAGAATCTTGAATGTCCCAATGTACCAATAATGTTGAATATCCCAATCTACCAAGAATCTTGAATGTCCCAATGTACCAGGAATCTTTAATGCCATAATGTACCAAGAATCTTTAATGCCATAATGTACAAAGAATCTTGAATGTTCCAATGTACCAAGAATCTTGAATGTCTCAATGTACCAAGAATCTTTAATGCCATAATGTACCAAGAATCATGAATGTTCCAATGTACCAATAATCTTGAATGTCCCAATGTACCAATAATCTGGAATGTCCCAATGCACTATGAATCTGGAATATCCAAATGTACAAAGAATCTGGAATGGCCCAATGTACCAAGAATCTGGAATATCCGAATTTACCATATGGCATAATGTAGAATATCTTTGAATGAGTTCTCAACATTCCTAAACAAGTGTTTAAGTTCAAAACGTCAATGAACAATTTGTAATTTCAATGAATATTTTAAATAATTCCTCTTAAATTATGTCTGAACACAATTGCAAATGTTAAGCGAAGATTCCGACAGACTAACATTAAGCATGAAATAATAATTGTGTACCGAATCACTTTATATACTTACTGTCACCTGACCTATGTCGCTGCTAGATGTTCATGAAAACAAATAATTTCCAATAGAAAAAATTACTAACTCGTAAAGAGAGGTCAGGTCTTGAACTCAAATTCAAGCAAACGTTTAGTTTAGTTAGAATATGGTTTAGCTACAAAGTACACGTAGCTGCAGTAAATTGAAACCGGCCTTGTGATGTCACAGTCTGCAATAACACTCTGGACAGTGAATTGTTAATAAATCACTTTCAAATTATTTGTTGACATAAATGGAGTACAAAATAAATTTTGGAGTAAAGATTATTCAAAGAATGTCTGCATACACACATAATTTTATAATTAAAATATCACACAAACTTTCACTTAAAAACGTACATTTTAGCTCTCTGATAAATAAGCAGACTAAATTTGGAGAGCAAATCAACCTGCGAGATCAGTTAAGATACAAACCAGATATCGGTGTCGCGTCTAAGAACCTTAGGTTAAGAGTTAGGGATGGGGATAGTTTAATTCTTAAATGCTCGACGTGCGCCTTGCATTAATATTTCACTCTTCATTAACTCGAGATATCGCTCTAATTAAGTCTGACATATTTTTCCTGCAAAAAAAATCCTCCATCATTCTTTTGGATAGGAACGAAACAAATCAGACATCTTATAGAGTTAACAGTAATGCAGATATTAGGATATTATGAATTTCCTTTTTGTGGTCTAACGTAGACGATATCACTAATATGTTGCTTCTGTAATTTTTCATATCCCTTTCCGAGCTACACAAGCTTATGTGTAGTTAAGTATTTTGAGGTAACGAAAACAAAATACTGCTTCGAAAACATCCTAGTCCCCTCTGAAAATGAAATGGTCGGACTCTAATAGGAAAAACACTAGAGCCTTTGTGTATTCCTTATGGACTTGTATGTGTAGTCAGTGAAAAACCTTGAAAGAATTCACACTTGTATATTCGTTATGAACTTGTATAGGTGGTCACTAAAATAGTTTACAAGAATTCTCACGTTTGTGTTCGTTATGGACTTGAATGAATGAACACTAAAATACCTTACCAGAATTCACACACGTGATTACAATCATATTGTTTTTATTTTATACGCCAAGTGAACAATGCCCAAATGGCGCTTGTGAGGAAACTGCGTTTTATAGGCATGTCCAAAAAGCCAATTTTTAAATTAAGATTCATCAAGCACAAACGTCAAAATATAATTGTTAGTCAATAAGGATAAGTTACAGATCTTACATTTAAAAATGAACAAAAACCCCACAAATTATTAAAAATTAATTGGTCGTTTTGTTTCGATAGGGCATTCCTCAAAAATCATGCCATGGATTAGCAGAATATGGAAATACAAATAATTTGGAAGCAAAAATGCCGTAATTTATTTGATTATAATTATTTTAACGTAGCTTTAACAATTTTTCAGTCATATCGCAACAATGTCTGCAGTGTGGCAGTTTATAGTGATGTCTAGCACTGTGGCATCATTCCGCAGACATGTAGGCATGATGTCCAACCCAGTCACATTATCCTGACACCAGGCCGACCAGTCCTAACACTAATGTTTTAATGCTGAGAGTTAAGCGAGGCAGCTTTTAGTACCATTTTTGTAAGTCTTTAGTATGACTCGACCGGGAATATAACCCACGACCTCCCGCATCCGAGGCGGACGCTCTAACCACCAGGCTACCGGAGAGGTTGTCGTAATTTATAAAGGCATCGTTAATTGTAAAATCAGTTTGTCAAAAAAGATGGCAATTAATAGCAACTGGAAGTTAGAATTTTCGGCAACGAAGAATTTATTTCAAGTGGCGTTCCGATTTTAGACACAATGTGTTTTTAAGAAACCATTGACATAGATGATAGAACAATATGTTTGGGGGTGGGTGTTTTTTTTTTTTTTGTTTTGTTTACGAATTATTTTGAGACGTGTTCATGATAGGCACTTCAGAAAATAAGTCATTGCTGACTTATCGTAATTTAGGTATCAAAGGAAAATTATGTTGTAAATAAGATGTCAGATATCAGCATTCAAAACATATTTACTGTGGCGATGGATGTGTTAGAGCATGTGTTGAAACATTTACAGTGCTGGTCCAGGTGATGGAACTATAATTACATCGCTCACCCAGGTGATGGAACTCTAATTGCCTCTGGAAGCCCGCAAAGAAAGAAACACGACACTCCTGGATCAAGCGATTCTATTAGACATGCGCCTTGAAGGCAATCACCTGGAAACATTGCCTCATTAAGCTAGACTCTAGCTAGACGTATAGACCAGGAACAATATCTATTTTGCATCAATTAACTACAATTTCTTAGTGGTAAAAGGGTGTAATTAGACAGATACTAGCCCGCTTACCTTTAAAAATGAACCTGGTCATATAATATTTTGTCAATGGCATCGAAATATTTTCTAAACTAGGCTATAGACTGTGCAAATAATATATTATGTAATCTTTTAAGAGTCTTCAATTCTTGAATAAAAAATAACTTAACTTTTGTGTATTACGTACATTTGCAATAGTATGCAATTTTTTAATAACAAATAGCTTACCTTTTGTGTATTACGTATATCTTGCAATAATGTGCAATTCTTGAATAGCGAATATTTACCCTTTGTGTAAAGGTTGTTTGATATTCGTTTTACAAGTACAATATCAGATAAATTTGATTCTAGCAGTAATCCTTCTGAGACATTTAGTTTAACTTATTTATCTAAAACATTTTATGTAACTGAGTTTTGGCCCGTTTATAAAATACGAATTTCCTTCTAATTGTATTACTACAAACTCGTCTAACAGACACTATTTGCTCCCAGTAGGGCAGGCTTTTATAAGGTTACAATTTTTCAGCAATATGCAATTAAGATTTCATTTTGAAGCTGCTTTCGTGTAAATACGCGATCGCCAATCTATTTAAAAACCCGGTGATTGAGATAGTTGTAACATTCCACAAGAACGCTCTCGTGTTGACTCTGTGGCTCGTTATGGCAACTGCACACACTTTGCATTTTATACAATTTTATTTTTGCATTGTAACACCAGGAAATTTCGAGTTAATTCTGTAACCTGTTATGGCAAATCCCCAATCATTAGATTATACAAAAAGTATTTATTTGTATCGTACAACTTGACAAATTCAGAACTAATCCAATGACCTACCACAGTAAATCACCAGTCTTTGCATAATATAGCATCGCTTTCATAAGCATCTTACGCACATCGTTCACCTCTTCAACGTGATCATCTACACTCATCGAACGCCACGAGGAAACTATACGGTGAAATCAATATATCTAGGCGTAGATTTTGTAATCGCTGTTTTGTAGCGTTTGTTCGTGTTTAATGTTGCTCTGAGTTTATATGACACAATGATGCTTTGACGGGTATTTCACTCTGTGGTATACTGTTAATTTGAAGTGATGCATTTGATGTAGGTTGCTGATAAACACGATTAGCTACAAATCATGTAAACAATAAAGATACTAATATTAATCACAAGTGTTATACTTACTCATTTTATGGCTGGTACAAATCTTTGTTTTTTGCTGCCTGGTTATACACGATTTTTTTGGGGGGTGGTGTTGTTTTCTAAAATACTGTTTTCTTTTCAGTATATTTATTTTACTTTAAGGCTGTAAAGATTATGTAGTCCATTAACACATCTACACAGAAGTCCATTTACACATCTACACAGAAGTCCATTTACACATCTACACAGAAGTCCATTTACACATCTACACATAAATTCATCAAATATCAGGTAGATTTAATACATAGTCGTTAATGAATTGACTGCAATCTCACTCACTTTCTCTCTCTCTCTCTCTCTCTCTCTCTCACACACACACACACACACACACACACACACACACACACACACACACACATCGGAATAATTATTATTTTCTTTTCTTCATTTCACGTATACTGCCACATTGTGATGTGATTGGTATAATAGTAAAGGGAGATAATCCTTAATAATGTTGACAAAAGCTTAGGATCCAGTCACATTGCCATTTTGTAAAAGATGATGGAATAATTTCCCATTGCCATTTTGTAAAAGAATGACATTAATTTTCCACGACCATTTCATAAAACAAGATGGAATAATGTCCATAAGGCGTTTTGGGAAACAAGACAATAATTCTTTTTTAATCTATTAATATCAGAACTAAAGTTTGACAATTAAGTAAGAAAGATATTATTCTATATAGAAATTAGCTGTTTGGAAATAATTTATTTATATATATATATATATATATATATATATATATATATATATATATATATATATATATATATATATATATATATATATATATATATATATATATATATATATATATATATATATATATATATGCATAATTTTAGCGATAATAATGCAGATGGATAGACAATTGTCATGCATAGCTTAATAATAAAAGTAAGTTTAATACAAACTATGTCTTGTACTTCCAGGATGCTTAGTCGTTTTGATTGCTGTAATACGAGAATACATTGTGGCGATAGAAAACGGAATTGACAGAGGTAAGTTACTTTCTTTAATTCAGTCGCGTTATTGTCTTAGTTTGTGTAATCATTGTGGAAGCAAGCAAAGGGTGTTACCCAAAGGTTCTTTGTTTTAGCTTTGCATCGTTCACACTGAAAGCGGAAGGCGCTTCCCAAAAGATTTTGTTTTAGCTTTTCAGCGTTCACATTAGAAGCGGTATGTGTTTACCAAAGGTTATTTGTTTTAGCTTTGCATGGTTCACAGTGGAAGTAAAGGGTGTTTCCCAAAGTTTCTTTGTTTCACCTTTGAATCGCTCACACTGGAAGAGAAAGATGTTTCCCAAATGTTCTTTTGTTTTAGCTTTGAATCGTTCACACTGGAAACGAAGGTGGTTTTTTCATAGGTTCTTTGCTTTAGCTTTGCTTCTTTCAAACTGCAATTTGCTGTAGCATCAAACATATAAAATGCGAAGGAAATTTAAAATGTCACAATAGACATGCTTTTCAATATATATATATATATATATATATATATATATATATATATATATATATATATATATATATATATATATATATATATATATATAATCATTATCATAGGCAGTTCAGTCTCGGAAAACCATCTGAGTAGCGCCCTTGGAGTAATGTCTATCTCATGGATTTTGGCAACGTCTGTTATGGTTGTGCAGGCCGACGCGCGAGTGACAATCCCAATTGCAGTTGGAGCAGACGTACAGGGAAGTCTGAGTTGCTTGGTTTGCTGTTGCACGCTTCTTTCTATCGCGTTTCTCTGCAGCCTGCTATACTCTCTTCCCATCAGCGACCGCTATGCTCTTGCTAACTGTCAGTCTCCAGGTGCAACGATCTGTACTTCCCAGCTGTCTGGTGAAATACCTCTTGCATACGTCCCTGAAGCAGAGTGACAGACGTCCGATTCTTCTGGTGCCAGTGGCCAACTGGCCATATAGGATTTCCTTTGGCAGCCTCCCATCCTCCATGCGTCGGACATGTCCCAGCCATCGAAGGCTGAGTTTGCTCAGCAGGGAGTATATGCTTGGGATACTTTCATGTTGAAGGACCACGTTATGCCAGCAGATTTTCAGGATGCGTTGTAGGTATCGTATGTGGAAGGAGTTTAGTTGACGCTCTTATTTCATGTAGGTGCTTCCAGTCTCACTTCCATAAAGGAGGGTATTCAGAACGCAGGCTTGGTAGACTTGAATCTTAGTGTGCACTGTCAATGCGCTGTTTTCCTACACCCTCTTTGCTAGTCGGGCAATGATGGTGTTTGCCTTTCATGCCTTCTCTTCAGCTCCACATCAAGCGAAAGAGTGTTGCTGATGGTTGATTCCGAGTAAATAAAGTTGTTGACTAGTTCCAGGGTAGGGCAGTCGATTTTGATGGAAGGGGGAGTGGTGACATCTTGAGCACTGACATTTGTCTTTTTTATGCTGATGGTGAGCCCGATGAACATCATGTAGAGTGGTTGGCCTTGCTCTCTGCTTTTCTCTTGGAGTTGTCGGAGGAAAAGATTATGTCTGTTGTCGACCTTCCTACTCTGAAGCCACACTGGGATTCCTGGTACACGCGGTCCGCTAGCAGCTACAGCCTGTTGAGAAGGATGCGGGCAAACACTATGCCAACGATGCCGAGAAGTGAAATTCCTCTGTAATTGTTACAGTCACTGCGGTCTCCCTTGTTTTTGTAGAGGATCACAATGGTGGCGTCGCGCACGTCTTCGGGGACTGCTCCTTAATTTCAGCAGAGGCAGAGTAGCTCATGCAGTGGCTGTAGCAATGTCGGTTTCCCATGTTTGATGGCTTCTGGCGGAATGCTATCGCTACCTGGTGCTTTGTCATTTGGGAGGGAGTCGATCGCTTTGCTGAGTTTTTCTAAGATAGCCATTTTGTTTAGCCCCTCCATAGTTTGCAGTTCCTGTACGCTGCTGAGCGCCACAACGGTGATCTTTCTTGGGAGTACAGCTCGGAGCAGGTTTCCACCCATCTCGTCATCTGTTGCTTACGTTCTGTGATCTTCTCACCCGTCAGAGATTTCAGGAGGGGGGCAACCCCTTTCACTATAGAGCCTAGGGCCTTCTTGATGCCCTGTACATGCCTTGGATATAATATGGTAAAGTTATCTTTTTAAGAAGATAATTGTGTAATACAATATACATGACATTACAAGGAGATAAACCTGTCATT